GAATGTGATTGGTGGATTAGTTGTTGGTAATTTAGTTGGAGTGGCATTAAGTGTTGGCAAAAATTCAACATAGAGAGTGAATTGAATGATGCTATTTTTGTGACTAAACCTAGTAACGGTGCTATGATTTTGAAAGATTTGTTAGATAATTAAATTTTATTGATTTTAAAAATGAATTTAAATAAATTATTAAAGTAACTTTGATATTAGTATTTAGCTCAGCAACGTGTATGTAAAATGTATCTGTAATTTACAATAAAATATTATATTATTTCATAAATAATGTGAATTAATGGATTGATGATAATGTTAAACAATTTAGGAATTAATGAAATATTTTACGAAAAAAATTTAGATTATTTTTACTTTGAAGTTTCTTTAAACAAAATATCCAGATACTTGCAATTAATGTTGATACTTGAAGAAGTCGAATAACTCTAAGTGCAAATTTCTCGCTATAATATAAGTTACTTTATCATATCGGAATGTCCGCATAAATTTACCGACTGTACTGTCTCCGACATCGAGTACTTAGAAAGAGTTCGCTGTCACGAATGTTTGCATTAATACAATTCACTCTCGTTATAATGAAGTAATGAGGATGTGAGAATTTTGATCGAGAGCCTAATAGTAATTACTATATTGAGGGCCTTTTATATGGTCTTCGCTATAACAGGTGGTTCATTATAACGAGAGTGACTTGTAATCATATCAGTAAATAGGAATTTCTTCGACAGTTTATTATAGAGTAAAAGGATAAGCATTTATGGTCTAAGGTACAAAATTATTAGACCACTATGAAATCAGAATGACTCTACTCGTTATGCGGACTTCTTCATTGCGAATTTCCTCGCCATAATAGAGTAATCCTTCTGAGAAATTTAAAATAATTATTATGCTATACACAGTAGCATTTTAGCAGAAATTTATTGACGGAATTATCAGCAATTGATCCTTTAATTAAATTACGAATGCTTTTTATTTACATAAACAAATAATAAAATGTGAGATTTAATTACAACAGACGGCATGGAGAAATGTTTTTGATATTTTTGTCAAGGTTCGTCCCAACTATCTCAAAGTGATACGTGTTTAGAAAAACGAAATAGAACACTAAACCGAAAAAATGCAGGTCGCCCAAAAGAAAAATTATATAACAAACCAAATAATGTTACTAATGACCGTAGTGCAACTTGCCAATATCGTTATTGTATTGGAGCTGTGGACGTACTACAGAAATTTGAAACCCATCTTGCAAATATTAGTCCTGATGTTCCTAAGGATATAGGCAAAAGTTACTTTCAAATAGAGTTATTAATTACAAGTGAACAAAAAGTTCAATCAAAATGAAATCAACAAAACTAATTAGAGCTTTATATTTAATGTAATGCATTTTATTGTATGTACGTACGTACGTACGTAGTTTAAATAAACTTGTACATACATTATCGGCCTTTGAATAATGCAAGAATTATTAAAAATACGAAAATATAATTGAGTTTTTGCTTTTATAATACCCAAATTAATTTAATTAAGTTTGCAAATACTATATGGCAAAATTTTTTTCGTCCGCCGAAATTATATATTGTAGTTGCCATTATTATTATAAATTAACCATTTATTATAGGCAGCCAATACTTTTATAGATTGTCGTTTATTAAAATTTTAGCTGCTAACAGAATGTTATATAAAATTTTCTGCTCCTTTTCATATGTCACCTATAACCATAGAAATTAATAAAGTTAAACGTGATTAAGATGATCAATAAATTATTGAATAAAAGAATAAATGTTAATGATAATAATTTAAAATCTTTATTTAACTTAAGTTTACGAATGACAGTTTTGGCATCATAAGAAAATAAAAAAAATGATGTCTAAATAAATCAACGGTAAGTTTAAATTATCTATATTAAACTCTAAACTCTTTAAAAATAATCTTTAAAAGTAATCTTTAAAAAGTTATTGCTATCTTAAAAAGGTGCATAACCACCGGGTGGATTCCTAATGATCTTCCATTTCTTTTCATACTTTTCCCAATCTTTCCATTCAAGTTCTTTCAACAATTCAATCTTTAATCCCAAAGCCTTTTCGTATTCTTTAACGTTGTCATTGCCTAACCCAGTTTCTCCAAACCATTTTCCAAGCGCCTTAAGAGCGTTTCCATATCGTTTCTCTCGTCTTTCACGTATAATATAAATTAGTAGTTGTTTAAAATCTGATATAGGTGGTACAGCATCTAACCATTGAGCAAGTTGCTTCCAAGTTTCTTCCAATTGCGTCGATAAATTATCACTTGATGAACTAATTGATGCAAGAGCAGCTAAAGCTTGAACTTTAGCTCCTAAAGCCAATATGACGGCTTTCTTTTTATCATCATTCTCCTTTTTCTTTTTTTTAGCGGCTTCATTAAGATTTGCTTCTTGTTTAATTCCATAATATTGTGCTAATTCTGTTAAATTAATCATTTCTAATATTTCTTCTGAAACTTCCAAGATTTTTTTCGCTGTTTCAGGTGTCATATTTTCTTTTTCACCACTAGCTACATCGAGGAGTAATTCTAATTTAGTTTGGGAAATTGGTAAGTGAGACGGATAACGATCTTTCAAGTCTGAAAATAAATCTTCTCTTGCTGTTGATTCCGCAGGAAACTTTTTTAAATAAGAAATTTGTAAATCTCGAATTGCTTCCGAAAGTTCTTCATTAGTCTTTTCATCCTTTTTTTCTAATTTATCAGTAGATTCGGATGGTCCTGAATCACTAGTAGGTGCCGGGCCTTTTCCATCTTCGCCTCCATTGGTCGAATCTTTTTTAGCAGGGGGTGGTGGGATCAACAAACTGGCTGTGTATTGTCCACCATCAATCTTCAAAGAGTTTACAAAACTTAAACGTCCCAGTAATAAATCGCCAGGTTTACTATCCTTTGGATAAACAGAGTAATCATTCGGTGATCCGATAAATACCGCCTGCCTTTCTCCTTTTTCCAAATAATTTTTTACGCCTGTAGGTTTTTCAGCCGTGAAAACGTCATGTATTTGACCATATACATCCAAATTAACTTTTTTGGATAAATTGTAATCCAAAAAGCATATTGTGTTATTCAACTTTTCTAACAATTCTTGTGAATGGTGGCGAATTTGTGCACGAATAATATAATCCCCTTTATATTCTAGTTTAAAGGTCTTGGCGTAAATATCTAGGTGACCGATAACTTTTTTATTGGCATCATATACTACATGATTACAACAGAAATTCAATTACAATTAGTAAATAAATTAATATCACATTTTAAAAATAATATTTTCGTATTCAAAAGAACCTACGTATTGCAAAGAAGTCTTCGAAATAAGAATCATACAATAAATCAAAGAATGCTGGAAATCTTGGTGTAAGAGACAAATTCTTTTCGGGTGTAGAAAATTTATATGTTAATGTTAGAGCATTTATTCTTCGAGAATTTGGAAGAATATCGCGATCTATGCAAAGTGGTTTTAAGGTTGATTCCGTTGGTCGAATTTCCTTACGGATGACATCTTTTAAAATAAATATTTTATGGTTATTTTCGCTAGCAAATTAATATTAATATTGAATAAAATTCTTACCAAGCTGAACGGAAGGGTTAATTCCCTCTTCTCGTCTAACAGGTGCGGTAATATCCAAACGAGTAAATGGAACTCCACCATTGATAAAAACTGTTTTATTTCCACTTATGGCATTGTTTGAAATTTGAATTCCATGGAAAATAAACTCTAATGATACATCGTGATTTCCAATGCTAGACCAATATTGAGCCACGCAAATCTTTTTTTTTTCAAAAAAAAAAAAAAAATTAAAAATAAATAAAATAATTGGTCTTCAAATCAACAGATCTATAATCTACATACCTCCATGGTCACACCGCCACAAACTGCAAAATTTTTTTTTTCAATTTGTTCTTCACCAGTTCCATCACCATAACTTCCTTTACCAAAAGAAAAGAAATATTCACGTTCTTGATATGTGAATCGCCTTAATGGCAACAATTGTACCATATGTAGCCAGAAAGATGCTGGTGAAGTACTTTTTTTTGTAGTAGATTTAAGCGTTACACCTTTCGAGGAAAAAAAAATTTTTTAACATGAGTAATTTTGGTTATCAAAAAATTTTTAAAACAAAAAGAAGTATAGATATATATTTATATGTACTTGCGTACGTAGCACCGTCAGGAACCTTAATAAATCTTCTTTCAATATGACCAGGACCAAAAGACAATTTATCAAAGCAAAGTTTAGAGCCATTAGTTAAAATACTTGGTTTTGTAACGGTGATTGGTACTCGGAACAGGGGACCCCTGTCTGGGCAAGTTGTATCATAACCCTGATGGGAAAAAAATTATATAGTTAATATTCCAAAAGATTTAATATAAAATTATAATAAAATAACCCGTCAAAGAAATTTACTTGAATTTCAGCAAAATATAATCCACCAGGTATTAAATTAGTTGGATCAACTTTTACATCAAATGACCGGCCTACATAATAAAAAAAAATATTTTGTTAAATGAATATGAAATATAAAATATTAAAGAGAGATAATGCTACATACCTCTACTACCCAAAAACAAAAAATCAGTTGCACGCACCCAGGTTTGTGTGCAAACCAAAGCCAATCTAGTTTCTAGTTCATATTTCCTCTGATTATTTTCTCCAGAAGTTGGATCCAATTCTTTCAT